CGGGGGGGGGGGGGGGGGGGGGGGTACTTAACAAAGTTTAATACAGGGAGGCTCTGCCCCAAGGTCCAACCCCTTACCCTTTTATATCCATTTTGGCAGAAAAGTTACCCCTTTTATATACCTTTTATTGACAAAAAGTACCCCTTTCACATACCTACTTTAGAACACTGCACCCCCCTTTCTAAACTCTTGTCACATCTATTCGAAATATTTTAATTAAAGGCCCTTTTAAATACCGAAATGACCAATTTCCCTACCCTTTTATATACCTCAACTTGTGAACTCCCTACCCTTTTATATACCTGAAGCCTGAAAAATGTATCCCTTTCGGGCAGAGCCTCCCCGTATAGGCCCTTATAGGGAGTACCCCCTGGGGAAATTACAAGAATGATTACTCCCTGAATTGTACGACACGAAGTCCAATTACGAATTAATCGTATCTGCAACAAATTTGAGTGTTAAAAATGTCTTTTGATAATTTTTTTTTTTGAGCGAAAACGTCTGTGGCGTTTTTCATAAGTTTTGAAAACTGTAGGAACATTGCATATGAAGCCATTAAAGCACGCGTAATTGACATGCGAATCATCCAGTTACAAACAGTTTAAATTGGATACCTGTGATTGGACACCCACGTGATCGCGTGCCGATTACGTGGCAAATAGGCGCGCAGAAAACCAATCACGATAGAGAATGTTGTTATAGATACGATTAATAGAAAATTTATAGTGATTTGGTGAGAGCAGTGGGAAGTGACCCACTGGAATTCCTAATTGACATCCTGCCTTGAAACGTTATCTGGAACCCTGCTCTTGTGGTAAACAGTTGGTTGGAATTACAAACTTTGATGATGCACTCAACATGTTCTTATTTGAATTTTGCCCAGTGTCCGTTACGATTTGTGAAGGTGACAAAACGATTATCCGTTGCCTGAAAGGAGGAAACATCAGGGTTTTGGAAGCGTCTTATGGCAGACATGACTTTCATACCTGTTCACATCCGAGTATCCACACTACTAATTGTCATGCTGACAATTCTCTTGCGATTGTGAAGAGTAAATGCGGCAACAGATCCAGCTGCGAGCTCGATTCAAGCAACTCAGTATTTGGAGATCCATGTTACTTAACATACAAATACCTGGAGGTCGAATTTCAATACGTTTTTTCACCTGTGCAAGCTGACGTGCCATATATCTCACAATACGGGCGTGCACGTAGAAGTCCCAAGAGACTTGGGAGCGTGAATTACATGTGAATCACGTTGTGAATGGCCTGAATGCCCACTATCAGAAATGCCTGCAGGGAATCATGGTAGTTGTATTCATCAAAACAACTATCCAGTCCAAGACGATGAATACAACTACCATGATTCCCCGCAGGCGCAACGCATAGATGGAATTGGCCATTTGCAGTCGGGTCGGGGTAGAATTCTGCTCGATGTGAAACCACCAATAGTAAAATGTTCAGTGTGGAAATGGTGTGGTGTGTTCGTCCTTTTGACTGGACCGTACATTTGTAGCAGAGCAAGATTTAATAGCTGTATTTTGGTTGCACAACAATGTAGCGGAGTACGAGCATGTCTACAACAGAAGGAATTTAAGTTGTTGGAGAGACTTTAGACGATGCGAAGGAGTTGGTAAACAAGTGGAGCATCGAGCTTTTGGGGGCTTTCTGCTTCACGTTCAGATGATCATCTTTGTGACCGTTATTAAGCAAGTGGGTCAGAAATTCAAATAAAGGGTTGTAATGTGGATTGGACAGTTTTACAAAGTAGTTTCCTTTTCCGGTCGGAACCTTAGAGTGCGTTTCTTTAAGAAAATCCAAGATTGGATTCTTAAATCCGAAAAATGGATTTAGCGTTTCTTTTCTAAACAGATTAATCCAAGATCACTCGGATCATGGTGCAAAGGAACCGGTCTGAGCAAGGATTCTTCGGTTTCTTTGATGCACCAAAGAAACCCAAAATCCGTTTTCGGATTTAAAAATCCAATCTTGGATTTTCTTAAAGAAACGCACCCTAACGCCCTAGTCATACACGTAGATCGTTTTCACTTGACGCCATCACTTTCTAAAATCCAAAACTAAAGAGCCACCAAAGTGTTTGCTAGTATCCTCATCAGGCGGTATATTTATATCTGTTTACAATTTTACAGCTCAATAGCGTGCTTCGTTTGGAAACCAGAGCATTTTGAATTTCAGGGTTACGGAGGTGCGTGACACAAGGCTACGATCGAGTTTGTTGAAAAGTATATACTTATCTCATGATTTTGAGCCTTTTTAGAAGTAAGAACATCAGGAAAAGTGCTTATGTAAATGCTTGTTCGCTCAATACTGATAATAGGTCGCCTAGATAGCCAAAGTAAGTTCCAGATGTTTACACTATTTTCCGGCCGCCATATTGGTGCACCACGGATGTACACCAACATGGCGTTTTCATGCTGGGCTCTGTAAATTTCTGCGAAACCTTTCGACGAATACCTGAAATTTGGGGAAACGCACAGGCCTAAAACTTGGAGAAGTGTCTTATTTAGTAATCTTCTATAACATAACAATTTCTTAACTTTTTCCATTGGATGGTTTTTGGTTTAGAAACGTTCGGCCATCTCTTGGTAGATTTTATCATGAAATAAAATGATGATGATGATGATGTCTAGATCCAGGGAGCTGTAAACGAACAGAAAGTGCACCCCATCTCAAGGCCTTTCACTAGTTCGGGCGTGCACCACGTGCCGCATAAGGTACGTTCCTCGGGAGTGTGCGAGCAACCATGCGTGCGTTCCAGTAGGGGTTTGGGCATCCATGAAACGTTAGCTCGTGACTCCCACGTACTTGATTTTTTTCTCTGACCGTCTCGTCAACTTTGTGTGAGAGGGTGGCGGCATTGCTTCGTCCCCCGAAGAAGGCTTCCCGTGGATACAGGGGCTCCACGAGATCGACCGCGGAGAGAAACGTCTGGAGAGGGAGGCCCGCTTTCACTACCTGGTCCCACTAACACTCCCACTTGACGATCACGTTCTACTCGAGGGTGAAGAGCATATCTCCCTCGGCTTTGGTGGCCTGATAGACCTTGTGGAAGGTACGGTCTGGATTGACTTGGCCTGCAGATATCTGTCGGGATAACATTAAGGGTACCCGTGCCACCAACACCTGTGGAATTCGTAGACGGTGCGGGTTGTCTCCTAGTAACCATTAACATGGATCGAACGTACTGGTGTCTGGATACTCACCTCCCCGCCATTACCGGTGTGACGTATGTGGTCAGCCGTAGGCTCGCCCGTCGAGGAAGTGGGGATGTTGGTACGTAGACAATGTTCATACCAGTCCAACCACTGGAAGGCTTTCACGGACTGATTGGTTTGGGCACCGTGCCTGCTGCGTGGGGGTTCCAAGTCGATGGTGTTGAACGGGAGAGGCATCTTGCTCCAATAGCGGTGCCAGATCGAAGTGATGGGGACGCACTTCTCCATGAGGTTAAAGTCAACGTGTTTTTGGAACTCGGCCTGGAAACAGTGACAACCCGCCTTCACCAGTTTGACGTCGGAGACGCAGTAGTCTTCCATGTCTCGTCTCAGATTGAAGGTGTAGTCGTTGGCCACCTGTTTCGCATACCACCATTCGAGCTCCGCTTTTTTTGGCACTTATGCCTTCGGGATCGTACATGTCTGAACGTGGCATTGGACTCTCGTAATCTTGATTTTCTAACGCGTTGAGAAGATGCCCTCGTTGATCTGTTTGTTTACCTCTTGATGGGTTGTGAAGACGTACTGCAAAACAAACATACCGTCGTAGCCCTTGAAATTGTGAAGGACCACGATAATATCTCGAACGTCTCCCTCCTCTGTGATGGTAAGTTCGTCCAAGTGGACGAACATGTCGTTGGTGCAGTCTTGACCATAAAACATCTCGGTCTCGTCGCTCTCGGCATCCAGGCAGAGCATGATGAGGGTTTGCATTTCCTTTTCGTCGGTGATGGCCATGTAATCGACGAACACGTAGAGCGGAGGGGGTTTGAACTCGGAGACGGAGATGTTTGCTTGCGACGAGATCAAGTGGTAGGTGTAGCGATCATCTTCGAAGAAGTGACGATTGCAGGTCGTCAGAATTCTATGGCGGCGGGAAAACGTCCAGAACCCACTTGACGTTTGGCTGTCATGAAGTCGAAGCAGTCCATCCGTTCACAGGCTTTACTATGTACATCGTCTTCCTTCGCAAGAATGGTGATGCAGATCATCATCGTGATCGTACCCACGGCAATGGGACTTGGATAAGAAACCACCAAACGTGTTACAGCCTAGGAAGTGATCGGCCACTTTAATCAGTCGTTCTTAAAGTCGTTTCTCCAAAAGTACTGAACGGCATAAAGCGAAAAAGATCTCTTTGGAAACCTGTTTCAAATAGCCAGAAAGTAGCAATTTTAACTGTTAAAATTAAACCTTCAATGTTATTACGTCATTTGAATTGGCCAATTAGGTGTCCTTCCCAAAAATAGCCTCGCAGGTTGACCACGCGCTAATTTATAAAGATTGTCATTGGAAGAGGCCCATGTATGGCGGGTGTATTCTCTACAATGTGTACAACTTCGTTAGGAAATGGTTAAAAAAGTAAAAAAATTATTGAGAAAGCACTTGAGTCCATTCTTGAACTGTTTAGAGGTTTCTGACTCAGCCGCGGGTCTTGGTAAACAATTCCACTCACAGAGGCGTTTAGCGGAAGAGTACTTATTTATAATTACCGGGGTACATTACTGTTAACAAACTTAAGTCGTTTGCATTCTGAGTAGAAAGCAAAGCTCTGACTAATGATTTCTGAGATGCCGATATGGAGGCTTTAGAGCCTTGACACGCAGTGTGTTGTGTAACGGAGAGATTTGGATCGCAAGTTTTTCTGTGATAAACATGTATTACACCGGGATCAGGTGCGCGAAACACCTCAATCTCTGGATGATCTACAAACTTCGCAAACAGATCCACGTCTTCCATTCCCCAGCCTCTAATGCTTGTGTCAAAGCCTCCAACAGCATCCATGTCTTGATAATAAATGCATGCTATTCCGTAAGAGAATGACCTCCACATTCCTGCATCTTTGTTAATAGTAAAGTGCGAATCGGGTTTGGTTTTGTTGCTGTATGTTAGTTCAGGATCAAACTGAGTAAAAATTATTGGAAAGTAAGCTCGCTTACCAAGCGCAGTGTTCAATCTGCAGCGATCAATAAATTCCGAGTTAAAGATCAAGTCAACATCACACAAGAATAGCAAGGCTGCTTGATCAAATTTATTTGCTGCGAGAGAAAGAGCTATTCCGCGGGAAAAGTTACCCGCAACATCAAGCCAAATAAGTTCTGCTTCGGGATATTTCTCTTGGTATTTCTTCATGATACCTTTGTGTTCATGAGGAGAAGACACAGAGGAAGAATATGCGACTACCAGCTTGACTCTCTGAAGTACTTTGAGGCAGACCAATTCAAAATTTGCCATGAAACGACGGAACGTTTCCAGACGCCCTTCTAAGGGAACGAGAACGTGTACATAAGGGGGCATCCCTGTAGGGGGCTCAGTGGTATATCTCAAATTTGCAAAAGGCTGTTGGGTATAGAACCTTCTCTCGTGTGACATGTAACTAGTTTTCGTTTCATTAGTTATGTTGTTGCGATGTTTCTTTGCACTAATTACTGTGAGTTGTACGATATGTTGTAGGCCATATAGGGGATGGACACGCCTATAACCATAATTTATTGTCTGGTCCTTGAGCTTCCCAAGATGTTGATTCTTCCTGGCCTCTTCATTTATAACTTCGTTTGTTTTCTTCAGTATATTGTTGACTTCAATTTTCAGTGCGCCAAGGATCTTGGTAACGGGCTCTTGTGAGCTGATGTGAGGGTAAAATAATTTGGAAGTAAACATTTCCCATTTTTCAATGTTATTTATGGCCAACTGATGATGAAAATCTCTTGCATCTTGAAGACCTCGTTTCTCATGAAGGGACAATCTGTTTGCTTGTAGCAATCGATCCATGTTCCGCAAAACACGTTGGAGCTTTTCTCCGTGCTGTTGAAGATCTTGAATGCGTTCGTTGTTAAAGTGGACGTGTAGACGGTACATGTAGGCAGGATCTTTGACAGGGTGAAGCGTAATCGCATCATTAATATTCTTAGAGTCCAGCTCACCCACAAATATTTTTCCATTACCATTGTAGTCGTGGAAGAAAAGTTTATGTAACTGAAAGAAAAATGAAATCAAAATCGGTCTAATCATTTATCACGATATTTCATAAGTACGGTAACCCAAATTTAAACTAATTACATACAAATCTTGTTTTTAGCAGCCTTATGCAACGGATCGACGACAAATTTCATCTAACGTGCAGATTTGGCAGACTTACATGGAAGTGGGGGACCTTGGGCAACTGAGGTCCCCCGCCTTGGTGGGGTAACCAATCTATCCATACAATCTCTCTTTTTTTCTTGATCGCGTTCACATGTTAGGTGGGGTACCCCACCAAGGCGGGTTACCCGGTCAGCCGGTCCGGGAAACCCGCTTCGTTGGGGTGAGTTTTCTTCATGTGAAAGCTGCGGAGTAGAGTAACCTGCCTAACCGGGGTAATCAAATCACTGCGCCAAAGCCCGGAAAAACACACGGTAGAGCAACATGGCTGCCAACCGCTACGAGCGTGGCGAGTTATTTCGACGATTTCACCTCCAAAACCGCCAAAACGCTGATAAAACTTGCACTGCTGGCGACAATTTAAGCGTGTAATCGGAGGGTAGTAGAATTTCCTTTGTTATGCTGCACCTGTATGGCACACGCGAAGATATATACTAAAATATGGGCGAAAATAATTTCCGCGCATGCGAAGAAGTGCAGCAGGATGGAGGTTTCCGTCGCTGAGGGGAGATGGGTGGGCAAAAAGCGAACTCTGAACAGACCTG